CGAGGCATTCGCAATTTGGGGCTGACGTGTTTCGTCAACGCTGCGGCGCAGGCTCTACTGCGGGTGGAGCCCATCCGGCAGGTTCTCCACGCGCACGTTCAGCGACGTTGTCCGCGGGGCGGCCACCGCCGTGCTGCGCGCGCCCTCGCCGGCCAGGCTGCCGCTCTTGCCGTGCAGGGCGACGTGGCGGACCCGGTCGCTCTGCTGGCTGTCGCCTTTTCGACAGCAGTTCCGGGCGGCCCAGTGTGACGCGGGTGAATTATTCAAACACGCGCTCGGAGCTTCGGGAGCACTTGAAGTTCTGCGATGCGGCAGGGAAAGTATGTTCGGAGAGCGCACAGCCGTGCAGCAGCACATCTTTGGCATCTTCTCGTGCAAGGTGAGAGCCTGCGAGACGTGCAAGTTCCTTTCGGATGCCGCGGAGATTCATTATATTTCCGAGGTGAGCATGCAGGATGCGCGCCCTCGTCGGAAAGACGCTGTGAACTTGCAGGACTTGCTCCGGCGCCAGATCCGGCGCGTGGAAGTCGCTGACGACGCGCGTCCGGCGCATGCGCATCTCAACGATGCACAACGCCTTGCCCTAAATGTTTGCCGCGGCAGGGCTGCCAGGCACACGCTCTGGGTTCGGCCGTCGCCTGTTTTCCCTGCTGCCGTGAAGCAGGTGCGCGGCAACGATCCCGATCACCAGCGGCACGACCGGCGGCGCCTTCTGTCCCCACAGACAGTGACACCGGAGGAGGGAGGGTGCGAGCACGATTTCTCGGGCGTCATGGCTCATCCTCCTGGGGGCGCCAAGCGTTTGTCAGTGCACAGTGGGCAATTGCATTGCCCTCGGGGCTGTCGGGCGACATTCGGTGCGCTGGCTTCGACGATGCCACTGTGCGCGGGTTGTCTTGGAGAGAGTTTGCCTACTCCGAGGAGCTGCAGCGCGGGGCGCACGCGTTTGCGCATGCGCGCCCGACGAAGTCGGGCGCGCGGCAGGTTCTGGAGCGAGCGGCGGCGACGGCGGCGGTGCTTCCAGCGCTTCTGCCGCGCCGTCTGCGGCGTCGACTGCGTCCGCCGGGCAGGCGGCGTCCGGAGGTGAGCCCGCGGGCAGGCGGCGGTTGCGGCAGTCGGGCGGCGACGAGGTCGGCGCCGGCGCCGCTTCCGCCGCCTCGGGCCAGCCGCAGCCGCCACCGCGCAAGGGCAAGAATGAAGGGGATGCCCCCACCAGGCCCGGGAGCCGCGGGCGACGGAGGCGACAGGCGCGGGCCAGGGGCGCGAGCGCCGCGACCGCTGACCAGCCGCATGCTGGCGTGGAGCCGGGCGGGGAAGCAGCGTTGACGGAGGACGAGTGGCTCCGATGCGCGCCTGTCACGATTGCTCTCAAGAAATGTGTTGGCACGAGCTCGGGGCCAGGGTCTCAGCGCACAGCGCCAGCGCGTGCCCGCGCAGGGACGCGGCGCGTTCTGCAGGGGTCATCTTGGCCAGCAACAGAGAAAAGCGGGTGGCCTGGGCGCGTGGGCGGCCCCACTCCAGAGGTTCAGTTGCAGGAGCTCTGCCAGTCGGAGGTTGATAGACCTCCTACCCTGACACGTCGATTAGCGAATTGGCCGCTTTCGGTTCGCGAGAGGGCGTCGCGGCCGTCATTTTTGCGGGTCCAGGTCCTTCGGTTTCGGTCCCGGGCCGCTTTCACTAAAGGGAGGTTTACTAAAGGGAGGTTTGTCCACCGCCGAGCAAGGTCGCGCGCAGGGCCCCGCGCGTCGCGCCCGTGCCCGACGCGAGCGGCGCGCCGCGGGTGCGGCCCGTCGTGGGGCAGTCGGTTCGTGGGCCCTCCGGGGAGGCCGCGGCCGCTGCGCCGGCGCCTTCTAGGCTGGTCGGCGCCGTCGGGGTCTGCGGCGAGCGCGCGGCGCGTGAGCGGCCGGCTGGCTGCCGCGGGAGCTGGCCGCCGCCGCCGCCGGGGGGCGCGCGAAAGGCCGGAGGGCCCTGGCCCGACCTGCTTCCTCCATACCCTCCATGTAGAAGGTTCGGACGACAAAAGCGCAACATAATGTACCACGGTGTCCGTTTGTGTCTTGTTTGTCTTCGGATGTCTTGGTATGTCTTGGATGTCGTCAGATGTCTTGATATGTCTTGTATGTTGGACAGCAGCTGTGGAGAGGCAGCGGCGCCTGTCGCTCGCGGAGCAGGATCGGCGGCAGGAGCTGCACGGCAGGGTGCAAGGGGCGCGCGCGCGCTCCGCGCGCGCAAGCAACGCCCTGGATGTGGGCATGAAAAATGGGTCCGAGCAGAGGTTGCGAGAGAAGTGCGATCGCTTGCTGCACCGTTCGCGCGGCGGTGGGGGGGGCGCGGAGCGCGACGGCGGCGACGCGGCAGAGGCGGCCGCGGCCGCAGCCGCAAGTGCTCCGGGAACGCAGGAACCCCTTGCAGGTGCGTCGTCTGGTGAAAACATGGCCAACGTGGACGCGACGATACGATTCGACGGCGCCAAAGTGCGCCAAGGGCCCCGCCGCCTCTTCGGGCGTCTAGCGGAGGTTTCTTGGAGCCTCTTGGGGCAAATTGGGGAGATCTTGTACCGCCGTCTTTGAGTGATGTTGGAACGCCTTGCCGCAATTTGGGGGCGGCCTCTGGCTGCCTGGGAGTTGTCGAACAGAGCGTCGGAGAGCAAGACCAGGGGGGGAAGTGGGGAGTTCACGCGCTGGTAGGGGGCTGGCCCCCCAAGGCACAACAGAGACATTATCAGACAACACGCAAGCATTCTGACACGCCCAAGGTGGTAATTTGATGACTTTAGAGCTGGCGCGTCAGATTCCAAATCTGTCCGCGAGCAGGTGCCCAGCGGCGTGTCCGTTCTTACCCCCCGAATGGCCCTGGTGGCCCTTAGGAGCCCCATGCCAAGAAACACCCTGCTTGCCTCCAGGGTGCCTTGGGTTTCTCGGGTTTCGATGGTTTTGCTATGGAAAGCGTGACGTTCCCACACCAAAACTCGATGGACGTCCTGGGGTCTCAGGGTTGAGTTTCTTGTGAAAGGTTGCTCGTGGTCGGGCCCCTAGTGCAGGAGCCCCAAAGTATTTCGGGAAGCTCAAATCTCGACGGCAAGCGTGCCTCCAGGGGTCTCCTCGCAAGACTTTCTGTGTCGTGTACGTCTGCTGAGAAGGGACCTGAGGACACTCCTCTCGGCGCCTGCGGCACGGGCGGCGGCTTTCCGGAATTCGCTTCGCGTCGTGGACGCCGCCGTGGCGACGTTCAACGGCGAGGCCGTCGACGCCGTGATCACCAGTGGAGGAAGAAACCGATGCCCGAGCACAAGGTTTCGGAGGTCCGTGCGGATTTCTCGGATCGGCGCTCGGCCCCAGCCACCTGGCGCAGAGAGCGCGCCAGGGGCGGCGCCGGAGGCGCCGCCAGGGAGGGCCAGCGCCGATCCGAGCAATCCGCACGGAGTTCCGAAAGTCTACGTGTGTGCAGATGTCCCTTCCTCGAGCCATGGGGGACGCCATCGACGGGCGCAACGCGAGGTCGGGAGAGAGCGACCGAGCTCTGCAGGAGGTGCTGGGCGTCCTCGCCCGGAGCACGGCCGCACAGCGGTTCGACCTCGTCGGGAACCATGAGCTCTACAACTTCCCCCGCGAGCGTCTCGCTGGCTGCGGGCTCCGCTGTACTGGAGAGTCCGGCAAGTGTTATCATGGAGGGATACACAGGGGGGGTGGGACCCATGGGGTTTTTGTTCCCTCGACACTGCGTAGAAAAAAGGGCGGAGGGAGGCGTCGGCTACAGTCAACCCATACAGTAAGGCTGTCAAAGTTTTCGGGCGTTCTCGTTTCTGGACGCCCGAAATGGGTACGGAAAGAATGGATACAATGCCCAGCAGCAGTTCCTGCTCCTTTTGGACAGGATTCGCTGTCCACGCCGCCGCGGCCTGTGTCCATTTGAGACAGAGGGCCGCCTGCCCAACAGCGGCCGCTGTTGGTTTGGAACAACATTTGCTGTTGGGCATTGTACCCATTGTCAGAGCCCCGAATCATCAGGGCTAACTCGGGTCAGGGTTAACTCGGGTTCGTTTTTTGGGAATCCGAACCCGAGTTACCCCGGACCCGAGTTACCCCGGATAACTCGGGCGTCCAGAGCCCCACATCATCAGGGGTAACTCGGGTCAGGGCAACTCGGGTTCCTCTTTCGGGTATCCGAACCCGAGTTACCCCGGACCCGAGGTACCCCGGATGACTCGGGCGCCCAACATTGTTTCAGTACCCATCTCGGGCGGCCGAGTCGTGGGCTTCGGGCGGGCCGCCGGCCCCGAGGGCGCTTGTGCAGCTGCTGCGCCTCGCCGAGGGCGCTCTGGGTGGGGCCTGCCCGACCTGTCCCGAGCGGCCGCCGGAGGCCTGAGTTCTGACGGGGGTCGGTGCCTAGGAGACGGGGGTCAGTGCAGGCGGGGGTCAGCCACGGCACCGGATCCTGCAGGATCCTGCGAAGGCCCCCTCTGGCTGACCCGGGTTAGCGAGCCGCTCCTGGCCGCGAGGCGGCCGCGCCTATTGGCTGACCCGGGTTTGCGAAGACCTGCGTTGCAGTTTGTTTTTCCTGCATTGCAGTTTTTGGTTTCCTGCTGACCCGGGTCTGGACTGACCTGGGTCAGAAGATCCCCGAGGGGGGGCGCATCGGCCCCCAATCGCCCAGTCGTCGTTCGTGGAGGCCCGAGCCCGACAGCCCAGCCCGCACAGAAGACTGCGGGTTCGCTGTCGGGGGCCTCTCGCCGAGCTGTGGCGGTGTATCGCCCATTCCAGGTCGATGCTTCTCCCAGTGAGCTGGTCCCCCCTGGAGTTCCCCCTCAAGAGGGGGTCAAGGCAGAGAGGCTGGTGCACTCTCCTCGCTCCCGCATCCCCTTCCCAGCCTTGGAGGGTGGGTTAAGGAGAGGCGTCTGAGCCAGCCATCCCCTGCCTCCTCTGGAACCCTCCAGCCGTTGGTCGAGCTTGTTGAGCTCAAGCTGGGAGGCCGTGTTTCTGGACGTGCTCGAGGTCTCCGTCATGGGCGTCCCCAGCAGCCACCCCTCGAGCGTGGCAGCCATCAAGATACTGCAGGAGAAGAACCCAAAAGTGGTCTCGTCTTTGGGCGGCGGCGATTGGTTCAGCGGGCTGCCTGTCGACAAGTACCGGTACGTTCCTTACAACGGCGCGGCATCGCAGGAGCAGATCTCGTGGCTCCGCGGGGCGCTGAAGGCCGCGTGCGAAGCGGGGCGGAGCGTGCTGATATTCACACACGTGCCCCTCTATCAGCCCGCGACAAAGCCTGGCGGCACGCACAATGGGGTGGCGCGAGGGGGGGGCCTTCTCAGAAGGCGGGGAGCTTCTAAGGAGGCAGGTGGCTCCTCAGAAGGCCTCCCCGCGTGTCGGAAGCCTTCTTATAAAGGCATCCGGGCGCTTCCGTGGGGAGGCCGCCCCCTCGCGCCAGCCCTTGTGCGCGCCGCCAGAAAGCCCGAGACGGTGGCGTGGAACGCAGACGAGATCCTGTGCGCCGTCCACGACTACAGCAGCACCGTGATCGCCGTGCTGGCTGGCCACGACCACCAGGGGGGGTATGCCGTGGATCCGGCCGGCATCCACCACCTGACGCTGAACTCTCCGCTCACGGCTCCCCCAGGGTGCGACTGCTTCTCCGTCCTCGAGTGCCACGACACATGGGGGGCGAACAACAGTGGGCCGACAACCGCGCGGACACTGGCTCGCCAGGTGCCCGCGTAAGGTCGAACGCAAGCTTCACCCCCCCATTCGGTTGTTCTCCAGCGCGCTGTGGGGCGTTTGTTTAGCTACCGTTGTCCATTGTCACGTGTGACTCTATCAAAAATGTTGAAGATGGCACGCCAGAAGATGGGCGATTTTGATGAACTACATGGCAAAAGGAAGAACATTGGCAGGTTGGCCACGGCCCGATCCTGGACCCGAAAACCTAACAACGCACGGGACGGATCCCAAAACGTCGATCTCCAGAATGAGCCAAGATTTGGGCCAGCAGCACAGATGCCCCCAGCGGTTGTGAGAGCAGTGGCCCCCTCCTCTCCACGCGGGGTGCCGCGCTGGCGCACCGCGCAAGCCGCCGCGGAGAGGCCTCCGTGTCCTCTCGCGCAGGGGCCTCGGTTTCTTCGCCCCCGCGCCGTGGGCGCACCTGAAGTGCTACGGGCGCGCGCTCGTGGAGAGCGGCACCAAGGGGGCCGGCAGGTCCTATCTCGGAGGGCACCAGCGTAATGCAACCCCGGCCGGTCCTGGCCAGGCCGATCGATCCTGGGCCCGGGCGTGGTGCACGTGCCTTCCTGCCCAAGCTCTGCACGAACGAGATGGGCACGGAAAGAGTGGGTACAATGCTCAACAGCAGTTCCTGTTCCTTTTGGACAGGACTCGCTGTCCGCGCCGCCGCGGCCTGTGTCCGTTCGAGACAGAAGGCCGCCTGCCCAACAGCGGCCGCTGTTGGTTTGGGGCAACATTTGTAGTTGGGCATTGTACCCATTTTTTCCGTACCCATTTCGGGCGTCCAAACAAGCCAGGTGGGCGCATGCACCGACCCTGGGGCCCCGGACGAGCCTGGCCACGATCGCGCACGGCAGGCGCATCACGTAAGAGGTCGGCCTGCCCGCATGTGCCCCACGGAAGTCTCTGATTCCGGGATGGCGGGGCCCACAGAAGGCTTGGGGCACCACGGGGCCCTGAAAGGTCGACGACGAATGTGCCCCAAGATGTCTTGCAGAAAGATTTCTTCTGGTGCGGTGGGGGCGTTCGTTGAGGAATGCGTCCAGGAGATTTCAGACCCTGGAGGATTCCTTGTCTGATGATGGCAGCGGTGATATACCTATGGCCAAGCCTCAATTGGTGTGCCACACGTTTTCAGACCCTGGATTCCTTATCTAAGGGTTCCTTATCGAGTGCCGCCACCGTATGTGTCGAATGCGAATAGCTCGGGCTTTGGGCTGATTCTGAGTAAGCGTTCGTTCAGGCTCCCCGGCTCCGAAGCGGCCCTGGCCCTCACCCCGTTGTGTTGACAGCGCCGCTCTCGCTCGAGGCAGATACACCTTAGGCGATGCTTAAGAAAACCTAAGTTTTCGTCCAGAGTCTCGATCACTCTTAACTTTTCAATGTAAACCCCCAGATTTTCATAGAAGTTCTGGGTTTCATTCAATTTCTGAGACTATGAATTTCTTAACCCATGATTTCTTAAGCATTTCGCAGGGTGTACACCCCACCCAAGAGAACTGGGCCCAGTGGCGTGCCTGCTGTGGTTGGCGTCCTCCTGCTGTCAAGAGCTGGTGCTGGGCAAGGGCGCACACAACGAGCCAAGCGGCCCTGCCCTCGGCGCGTGAGCCTCGCAGCAGTGCGCTCCGCGCGGCGTCCCGAGCAGGCTTCGTCCAGGGAGGCCCGTTTAGGCCGCAGGTGGCTCTGGGGCAACGTCGGGGGGGATAGGCTCAAGGGGGGGGGCGCATCGACCCCCAGTCGCCCACTGATCGCCGATAGGGGCCCGGAAGCCCGGGCAGCTCACCCCGCCAAGGAGCGTGCAGATTCGCTGTCTGGGGCCAACCGCGGGTATATCGGAAATGTATCGCCCATTCTAGCTCGGTGTTTCCCCTCCTGAGCCAGCGCCCTCTTTCCGAACGTTCCCCGACGTTGTGTCGTAAGGAGTTGCTCGGGCTGGGAGCGCAGGCGTCGAAAAGGGCGTGGCTCCGGGACTACTCCACCAGCGGTGAGACCCCCAGGGCAGGCGCCGTGCAATTCGCAGTCGCACATGGCTTGCCGAGCGTGCAGGCAAAATGGCGGGCAGCGCACGTGTGGTCGCGACGACAGGAGTAGGAGGATCGAAGCAAAAAAATGTGCATGAACATAACTTCCAGAGATCTGGCGCGGATTTCTCGGATCGGCGCTGGACCCCCCTCCCTGGCGCGCGAAGCGCTCCGGGGGCGGCATTGGAGGCGCCGCTAAGCGAGGCCAGCGCCGATCCAAGAAATCTGCACATACCTCCGAAAGGTTCTGTTGATGTAAGAATGGAGAAAACAATTTAGAATTCACGAATTCACGATTCAGGCTGTTTTGAAAATTCTTTACGCTTCGCGTATCCCCACCAGCCCATCTCACAACAGCAACTCTGGCGAAGCGTGCCGACAGTTGTGTTGTTCAGGCGTGTGTCCGCTTGGCCCCGCATATCTCCCCTGTTCCTCCTTCTTCCCGCCTCCTTGTACATCCTCCTTGTGGGGGCAGCGGGAGAAGGACGACGCGGAAGAGGAGGGAGAGAAACCGGTGGGAGGCAAGAGGGACTCAGCGGAGAGGACGATCTCAGCGATGATCTGAACAACGACGACGCACCCGACGACGACGACGATGTCGACCGCAACGACGACGACCACAACCGCGACGACGACGACGACGACGACGTCGACGAGGACGACGACGAAGGCGGCGGTGCGGGCCCTCGTTGTGTGAGTCCTTCGGCCCCGTCGTCCTTGTGTGAGTCTTTCGGGACCCTAGTCCTGGTGTGAGTCGCTCGGTATCCTCGTCGTGTGAGTCGTTCGGGCCCCTCCTCCTGGTGTGAGTCGTTCGGGCTCCTCGTGTTGTGAGTCGCTCGGGCTGCTCGTGGTGTGAGTCGTTCGGGCGCGTCGCCCTGGTGTGAGTCGTTCGGTCCCCTCGTCCTGGTGTGAGTCGTTCGGGCTCTTCGTGGTGTGAGTCGTTCGGGCTTCTCGTCCTGGTGTGAGTCGGTCGGGCTTCTCGTTGTGTGAGGCGTTTGGGCACCTCGTCCGCGTGCGAGTCGTTCGGGCCCTTCGGGGTACGAGTCGTAGGCGTCGTCGAGTCCAGCGATCTCCCCGACCAGCGTCGTCGTTGTTGCCATTCTGGCTAACAGTATTTCAGTGTGGCTGCGAGCTTCGCTCCGCCTACCACGGATCCACGATCTTCAGGCTATACTAGTATACAAGACTGTCAGGCTCAAGGTTTAGATTTCTTCAAGGCTTACCACAGGGTTTCTATGTGTACAAAAGCTGACAATGGACACTAGAGTCCGTTGGCGATCCTGCAGTCGCACGTTTCAGGAATGTCATGTTGTCTTGGTTGTTTTGTGTTATGTTGAATCATTTGCGGTCCTGTCTCAAGTTTTGTCTTCAAGCGAGTATTCCCCGACGACGACGACGACGACGACGACGACCAGGCCTCTCGCTCCGGGCGGTCGTCTTGGCTGCTGGCAGTTGGGCGGCTCTGGGCGGCGTCGGGCCTCCGCTGACCGATTACTAGATGCATATGTGTATATATTGTACATGTATGGTGTGTCGACGTATATGTATATATATATATATATATATATATTTATTACCTAACAGCGAAGACTGATAGGTTTCTAGTGGGATCAAAAGAGAGCAGCAGATCACTCCACAGGGGGGTCCGGGCAGGTGTTGGGAGTTGCCGGGCGGCAGTGAGCCGGGCTCGTTTTTCACCAACAGTCACACACTTCGTGCTCTTCGCCTTCCCAGAACTCCATTCCCAGGCCACATTCTGGGGGGCCGGATGCAACTGTAGGCCACTTCGTGCTCTTCGACATCCCAGAACGCCATTCCCGGGCCACATTCTGGATGCCCGGAGCCAACTGTAGGCCACTTCGTGCTCTTCCATTTCCCAGAACTCCATTCCCGGGCCACATTTTGGATGCCCGGAGCCAACTGTAAGCCACTTCGTGCTCTTCCATTTCCCGAAACTCCATTCCCGGGCCACATTTTGGATGCCCGGAGCCAACTGTAGGCCACTTCGTGCTCTTCGAGTTCCCAGAACTCCATTCCCGGGCCACATTTTGAATGCCCGTAGCCAACTGTGGGCAACTTCGTGCTCTTCGACTTCCCAAAACTCCCATTCCTGGGCTACATTTTCAGCAGGGGCAAGAGCACGACGAGGAGGAGGACGAGCAAGACCAGGAGGACGAGGACGAGCAGGAGCAGGACGAGGAGCAGGAGGAGCAGGAGAAGAAGGACGAGCAGGAGGAGGAGGAGGACGAGCAGGAGGAGGAGGACGACCAGGAGGAGGAGGACGACCAGGAAGAAGGAGGAGGAGGAGGAGGGGGAGGGGGAGGAGTACCAGGAGGAGGAGGAGGAGGAGGAGGGAGGAGGAGGGAAGAGGAGGAGGAGGAGGAGGAGGAGGACGAGGACGAGGAGGAGGAGGAGGAGGAGGAGGAGGAGGAGGAGGGGAGGGGGAGGACTACCAGGAGGAGGGAGGAGGAGGAGGAGGAGGAGGAGGAGGAGGAGGAGGAGGACGAGGAGGAGGAGGAGGAGGAGAGAGGAGGGGGGGGAGAGCACCAGGAGGAGGAGAACGAGGACCACCAGGAGGAGGAGGAGGAGGAGGAGGAGGAGGAGGCATTTTTGAATGCCCGTAGCCAACTGTAGGCAACTTCGTGCTCTTCGACTTCCCAAAACTCCCATTCCTGGGCTACATTTTCAGCAGGGGCAAGAGCACGACGAGGAGGAGGACGAGCAAGACCAGGAGGACGAGGACGAGCAGGAGCAGGACGAGGAGCAGGAGGAGCAGGAG